CCCGTGATAATACACTGCGTGATTATACTATTTTAGCTCTTTCCACTCTGTGAGCATTAAAAGAGCTTTTCTTTAGCAAGCACATTGTAGGTTCGATCAATCCCAGAATGCGGTAACCAAGTAGTGAGGGACAGAACCCGACATACTTGAAAAATTCCTGGGATTTGTCAACGCGTCCAAATTCCCAGTCTCCCAGATTGGTAAGCTGGCGTCTTTACAGCTAGCCATCCGGATTGAATAAGCTTGTAAAGAGTTAATTTCGAAATGGATTCTCTGGACACAAAAGCTCTTTTGTTTATTAAACTAAAATGTCCAACTTCTACAATAATAAAAGTCAAATTTATGGTATATAATTTACATACAATAACATTAGTTCACGAATAACACGACTAATTACTCTAAATAGAAAATTTTAAACATTTTTAATATAATAAATAGCCTAATTATAAGTATTGTAAATGATTTTTTAATGTGTTGGTTGATTTTAAATATATTCGTTCAAACAATATTCCCACCAAAATATATTCATAGAAGGAAATTAAATATCACTGAAATTTTTATGGGTCACAAAAATTCTTTCGCTGACTACCAGTTGGGGGTTATACTGTTTTTAATAATAAATATAGTAATAAAATAAGTGATTAATTTATTTTGGTTTTGGTTCGAAGCATTTTTCTATATTTTATTATTAATTAAATCAATCGTAAAAAAATTTCACCAATAGGAAAATGTTTCGAAACGATTTAAATACGACACGAGCGGATTACTCGCTCATTTAAGAAAAATATTTAATATATTATTATTTTCCAGCTGAAATTTATATTAGCATTAAGAAAGAAGGTAAAGTTGTTATAATTAACTTATTCCATTATGTGAAATTTTTTATATATTTCTGAATAAACAAGTGATATAATTTCTTGATACCCGCGAACGTTTCATAAACTGATTTTTATACAATTATTTTTCATCTTTTAACGATAATTCAAAAATTTGAAGTAGGCAGAATCTTGAAAGAAATGTTTTAAAATTAAAATATATTAAATTTGGTAAACTTTAATTAATTAAATAGGCTAACATGTTACAGTGAGTTATTTATAGCCAATTTCGAATTTTCGAGTTTTGTTTTAATATTGTTACAATTTTTCGGTCTTTGTACTTCAGACCACTTATGCTGAACAAATTCGTTGTGATATACATTGCTAGAAAGTTGTTAGTAAATAATAAGATTAATATTAATTATAACCAGCTTTTTTTTACTTATCTAACTAATTAAATAGAATATTTTTCAAAAAATTTCTGCATTACTTCAAAATAATTTAAAAATTTCCAGATTTAAATGGCATATTATTTTAGAAATAAGTTGTTTCAAATTTTTATTGTAACTATTCCCTTTAAAAATTTCGTAAAGTATTTTAAATATTAATTGTAATAAAAACTCAATATCGAAAGCAGCTATAGAAAGTTTAATATTAATGATTACTTTCGTAATCATTAATATTAAGCTTTCTATATTAATATTAATATTATTAACATTAAACTTTCTATATTATAATATTAATATTTAAAATTATTATAATATTATATATTATAATGTTAAAAAAATAGCCTATAATAAAAAGTCGTCTCTTTAAGGGAAGACTGTTTATTGCTGGTGATTGGACATGATAAAAGTGTAAAGATTTAGTTTCTTCAATGTTTAAATTGAATTACTAATTAAATTATCAATTTTTTTGCTGTATCTTCCATTATCTTACTATTGTCTTTTTTATAAGTTT